GGAGTGCAAGACAAAACATAAAATATGTGAATAAAATAAAATAAAACAGTAAAACACAACATTCATTCAGCATTCGGGCGGGGATGTGAAAAGATGTGGAGACTCTAGAAAGAGTGCAGAGAAGACCAACCAAGATGATTAGCGGACTGGAGGCTGAAACATGAGGAACGGTTGCAGGAACTGGGCCTTACTAGTCTGATGAAAAGAAGGACTAGGGGAGACATGATAGCAGTGTTTGGCTATACTTTTTAGGTAAATATTTCAGGAGGGAGGAAAGGGAACAGTCCCTGGGGAAACTGCCATATTTTTTTTTTTTAAGTATTTCATAGTCATAGGAATTTCAAAATTCATCCTTCTTTCATTTTTTAAAAAAGGGTGAGTTTACCCACGTGAATGGAATTAGAGCTAGAAGGTAGCCTTTTTCCCATCGATTTACCTTGATCTTGACATCCTTCGGAGCGAGTTTCTTCACTTCGTTGAGCAGTCGGTCCCCGAAACCTTAAGAGTTGAGAAGGCAAGATGAACACCCTGGCATTAACATTGGCATGAATGGAAGGGAAATGAATAATGGATGGATACTGAACAAGGAGAGATTCAACCTGGCCCTTTCTCTGCTTCCGACACAGAGCCCTCATCAGAGCCTTCCCCAGACTCCAGGACTGGCCCATCTTCCTCTCCAACCACCTCACTGTCCGAATCTGCTGCCAACTCCGCTGGCCGCCAGCAGGCTAGAACAAATATTTCTGCTCTCTTGAACCTTGTCTGGGAAAGACGTGAAAATGACACATATCCTTCCAAGCCATTTTGGGGGGAATTGCAGAACTAAACTCCTTTATACAGAAGTTATGGGTGCTCCATCACTGGAGGTTTTTAAGAAGAGACTGGACAGCCATTCACCTGGTATGGTATAGGGTGGCCTGCGTGAGCAAGGGTTGGACTAGAGGACCTCTAAACTACCTTCCAACTCTGTGGTTCTGTTACCTATTATTTGTTACAAGCGGAAGATACCTCCTCCTCTATGTCCACTGAGTACCTTTGAAGAGCGTAGACCCTCCAGACAGGACAATGTTCCCAAACAGCGTCCGCCTCAGGTCCATGTCCGATTTCTGAATGGCGAACACCAACACTTCGTGGATCCCTTCGCTCTCGTCTCCTATTAGGTCCGGTTGGAAAAGCAGCTCAGGAGCTCGGAATCGGGATGGGCCAACCTGTCCCAAAAGCCACAAGGGTCAACTCAGCTTCAGCAGGACTGCTTGGCTACAACATTCATAAGCTGGCAGAAGATTCAAACACCCGCCCACCCTTACCAAATATGGCTGAATTAACCAGTCTCTGATAGGAACTCATAAAAGTGTTCTGACCCAGGCTTCCTGAGGAAGCATAAATCACAATCTTAGGCCCCCCCAAACCCTCTTTTATTTAGAGGGCTGTGAATTATGGTCATTAACAGTATGCAAGGCTTCACAAATAGTCTGTGAAGATTCCGACAAATGTCTGCTGGAGTTGCCACAGTCTTTCAGGGGAATGTTGATAAACACCCACCTTATCTCCCTTGAAACGCTGCCAGAGACCTAAT